AATTAGCCTTTAATCTAGTAGCCTAGCCGAGTCTATGAGTAAATTTACAGTGCATCCAAAGCTCATTGCTACAAAATTTTGTTTGAAACAGATAAAGGAAAGCATGTACCATATTTTACCACTGTCTCTATCACTCAGTGTAATAAACTCAATGTTTAAGTGTATTTACTTAGAGCGTCAGTATCTACAACAGCTAATCCAAGAGTCACCTTTTTTTCTCTTCCTGTTTTTGGAATAAAATAGTGATACTTTCAGTAATATACTATTATTAGAATTTTGTTTTTCAACATATCAACTAGTCTGACATTCATGAAAGAGAAGAATACAAAGCTTCCTCACATACATGAATCCCCTAGGTAGAAAATTAAATTTTATACTTTATGACTATGCTATATATTAAAAATACTTAAAATTGCTATAAGAAGATAGTGATTGTGGAGTTGGGCTTGGTAGTTGGTAGAGATGAATGTACATAATATTTCAAGTTCTAATGTAAATTATAGCTTTCAGTCTCTAAAATTTGATTCTTTAGAGCTTATGATTTTTTGTTTTTGTTCTGTAAGAGACTGCTGTAAAAATAAATCCTGAAGTTACAGTTAAATATACAAACCACCAGGGAAAAAAACAGCATATTCAGGAGATGGTAGAGAAAGATTACTACTGTTAGCTAAAGCATTATCTTTGTTTTTGTGGGAAAACAAAGGCAGTAGAGTTGGTATTTAGAAAATAAAAGAAAAATGTTAGAAAATGATCAGGTTTTAGCTTTTGTTACACTTCTACTATGAGTCTGTTGGGCATTCTTTCCCTTGGGTCCCCATCTGTAAAGTAGGGATAATGGTAATTTCTTCTTCTCTTGGCTTTTTTTTTTTTTTTTTTTTTTTGTCAGTTTAGGTAGTGAGAGTTCCAAGAAAATTTTAGGCTCAGTTCTGTAAAATCAATAGAAATGAAAAGCATAAATACTATGATGGAGATGTAAAGGTCTAAACTATTTTCAAGGATGTGGGGGTTTGTGATTTTCCTTTTTCAAAATTGACTCAAGTCTTTCAGACTGAGGAACATATCTCCGTGGGTGAGGAAATTTGTTTCATTCATCATCACATCTTGACTGCTAATCAAGGGAAGGACTGCCAAAGGCTGTTAGGAGGTGACTTGTTTAAGAGAGAAATTTTGGAAAAAAATATTATAAGCCCATATATAGGCTTTTCAGGTGAAATCTAAAAGTCTTTTACTGCTCCCACTTCATGCAACACAGAAATATGAAATCCTTAGTCCCAACAAATTAACTGAATATCTAGGTTCAGCAGAAGATTTCCTAGGCTTCCTCACAAAGTATGCCACAGAACCCATGTGCCTGAAGTTGCCAGCTAGAATCAGTCACAAGAAATTCAGATGATAGACGTGCCTGAGCTCCATATCTTCTCTGGGGCCTGTACATCACCATGAAGGTAGCCTGAGGGATTCAGACAGCCAATTAGGGCTCATCCTGAGAGGAAAAGCAGAGCTCAGGTCACACTGCTCATCTACAGCTTTTAATTTGCAGTATAATCCCAACCATCACTGTCAGTCAGAAACACATCTGACCATGATGCTCAAGCCATGGCTAGGAACATGCATCCTGCCATTTGTGATCTCTGTGTGGGAGTGCAGACTTCTGCTATGTTCACAGTACAGCTAAATATTCTGGATGGTCCTGCAGATCATCACAATCTTGCTTTATTGAGTTCCTTTTTTTTCTGTATTTTGTTTCATACAGCTGCAGTTCAGCCTTCCAAACGGTAATTAATTCGTTTTGAGAGCTCCTTAAACTGCCTTCCCCCAGGCCTGAAAGATTAACATTGTTTATCATCATGACTAATGGAAATTTGAAACTTTTTCAGTAGAGATTGGTAAAGTACTTTTGGCTTTTGACTTCTTTAGCCACAGAAGCAGAACTAGTGTTGGACATAATGTCATTGCCAGTTGTTTTGCCATACACAGTTGTTCCTGTTCTTGCAAGCCTGAAAGTATTGCAGATAGAAAATTTTTCCATCTGTGCAGAACTGAGTAAAGACTTCTCTGTCATTCTCAAGAAATTTATCCATCAGCAGAGCCAAGAAAGAAAGAAAGAAAAGAATGCAAGATCTAAAAGTCAGTTAGGACAAAGACATGATTCTCTCAACTCTGCTTCACAGCGTCTGATTTAAGTATTGGTGTTCGGCTTTCATCTTCATCTAGTAGCATTGTAAGCACAGTTTTCAAACCTACAGTTTCATTATATTAATAATTCCAGGGCAGAATTGTTTTACAGGAATATCTAACTCTTCTGTGCATTCTACAACACCAGTAATAGTTTCCATTTCCATCAAGGAGCCCTGTATTCTGGCATGTGATGTCCAGCTGTTGAATACTATCTATCAGCTGTGTTAAGAGGGAGAAAATCAGATAGAATGTTAGAATGCAATAACTTGGTTGGAATTAAATCAAGACTTTTAAAAGGAGGCATATCATCTTCTAATTATTATTTACTCAACCTTTGGTTTTGGATAATATCGTGGCATATCAATGTCCAGTACATCCCTTTTAAAAGAATGCATTCATTCCTAAGAGAGAGACATTGTCTCATAGCATCCTTAATAATGCTAATTACCCTTTCATCAAAACATTTCCATGTCATAGATAGGGAAGATGCATTTTAGATACAGTTATGACACAATGAGTATTACTTTCTTATTAAGCAAGTATTTTCAAAAAAACAAGGCATCTCTCCAGAAGCCTTTTAAGCCCAATTTGAGTTGCAAATACCAAATAGTAAGCAACCGTATTAAGCAACATTCTTATTTTACACATTCTTATTTTCCCTCTTTTGATGCTTATCTCCTGTGTTTTCAGATGACAACTACACTTGCATGGAGTACAAAGATAACTCTTTAAATGACCATCATGAGACAGTCTCCATGTCATGTTCATAGCTGTGTTCTAAAATCTGTTTGATTGTTTTTTCCCTGTTGTAGGTTACCAGAACTGTAGACAGAGTGGCACTCATAGGTCCATATTCCTTCCCTATATCCCTCTTGTTCTTTTGCACAGCCACATTACAGAGATAGTTCACAATCATCTCATTTTCAAAAGCTTCAGAGGAAAAATACTTCTGTTTATTAATTAATGCATTAATTTCTTCCTCATTCTGTTAATTTGGTTCTTCAGTTTACAAAAATCATTGCATTTTCCCTGGAGAGCACTCTAATCAAGATCTTTCTTGATGATGCCTCTTTTTTGTTGTATTAAAAATTTTCATTCTTTGAGCCAATGTAATAATTTTCTCTTTCTGCCAATTCTTCACATAAAAAGATACATACATAAAAGTAAAAAAACCGAAAGGTATTAGTTCTTTATCTGTATGAGTCTTAGCTTGAAGGTTCAGAGTTTTGCAAATGTTCCAACTATTTTTAGAAGTAATAAAATATTGTAAATACTATCACATGTACATGAAACAGTTACTGTTTGTAGTTTCATTATTTCACCTTCACCTGAGAAAAAGGTATCTTTTATGAGCACAATCATCTGTGTTCTGCATTATACAACCCCAAGTTTTTGGCTAATTTCTGAAGTAAAAAACTAATGTTTGTGCCTGTCATTTATTTATAGTAATAAAAACTGCATGTGTTTACACCACACTGGAATTTATATTTAAGTGGTTCTCTCTTCACTGTTTGTATATGCACAAAATGCTCTGACTGAGTTTAAAACTAGCCCAGATGAAATTTTCCAGCCTGTAGCTCAGTTACATGCCTGAAACATGTCTGGATATTCAGAAGTGGCATATCCAAAATGTAGCCAGCTGTTGTTATCTTCCACATTGTCCACAGTGAACATGTTTTAGACTTAGCTGCATTAACTGACACTTCACTTGGCTTTGCGCTTGAAAAACAGTTGCATGATGATGTATTCTAGTTTTCTGATGTAGAAAATGAATTGCATACTGAGAATTGAGTCATCTGATAAACCACGATGGATTTTTCCTCACCAATAACACAGCTTGTTCCCATGCTGTGCTACGCAGAATTGGTTGCAAGCATGCAAGTACCTGTGAATGTGCTAGGGGTAGGAGTGGAAAGCTGGGATAAGGAGCTCCCTATCTAGATAAATTGTTCTTCTTTAGTTTCGAAGAGTGAGGCTGGCTACCGAGAATCCAATAGCTGACTGCAGTCATCTCCGAGCAGGGAGTGTACTGGTGGGAGAAGCAGGAGGTTTGCTTTAAGTCGTAATGTCTTTTCTCCAGGCTAAGCAAACAGATTTAGCCGCAACGGGGACTCCAGAGCACCCAGAATTGTAACCTGAATTCTGAGGACATCTAGTGGTGTCAGCCCACTGCAGAGACTGGGTCCTGGTCCCAGCTGGTGACCACTTGCATATCTGTATTTCAGCTGAAATTTACTACAAAATCAAATGCAGTAAAAACAATTGGATGAATGCACTGAAAAAGTAGCATTCTTCAGCTCAAATGATCCTGAATTCAATATTGACAGTCTCAAATATTGAAAAGTTTTGAGATTGGATCAAAAATCATAAACTTCTAAATAAATGTTGTACCTTTTCTATTCACCTTCTGTTTTCAGGACTTTCAGAGTTCAAGTATGTTGACCTCTTCTTTGCATCAGTAGGGTAAAAGTATATTTTTGTTGCTAAAAGACCGCTTTCTTAGGTTAATTGATTAATCTAGAAGTTAGAACTCTAAGATAAGAACCCAGTATCCCAAGATGCCAAAGAAATATGCAAGATTTGTTAATGCTTAGAAATTGTAATCCTATCACTGCTAACCAAAGACTTCTGGGAAGGCATACCTACATCTCTGAAATTCAGGTTTTCAGCTTTCCAAGTGGAACTGTTGGTGTTGCCTCACCTTTTAGAGAGAGAACAAGAATCAATTAGCTGCAATTCAAAAAGGACTTTGATCAAGTCAAGCGATACATATTGCACACTGAGCATTGTTACTGACTGCTGCATGATGGCGTGTTTTTCAGTGAGCCCTTGATCTGATACTTCCTCCCGAGGAAAGACAGGCATCATGAAACAGAGATTCATTTCATCAGTTCAAATAATTTTGCAGCTTGCTCTGACTACAGTAGGTCTGACTGGTAGGTACAACAATTCCTGAAACACTTCTTTTTTCCTTAAGACACTTTCTTTAGAAAAGTCTGAGGCTTTACCCAATCTATCTCGACCACCATTGGAGCATGTACCTATTTAAATTACTTTCTTCTGAAGTTTGGTATGGCAATTTTGAAAATGGCTGGAGCTGTCTTTTTATAGTATTACTTTAAGGACTGTTTGGTGACAATACTGAAAGGCACTAACTCCACTCCTATATTCACTTCATGCCTGTCACCTTCTTGGGAGCTAGCATATGAATAGTTGCACCATTTGAGATATTTTATGAATATACATGGGACTTTATGAAATAATGATTAGCTTAGGTTAAAAGGTCACACATTTGTTGTCTAAAAATGAATGTAAATGTATGATCTGTGTTCTTGCTATAAGTTAATGAGAAGTAGTCTTAACAAGAAATATTCTTAAATGTATTTGGATTAACAGGGAATATTTGAATGATTAATGAGTACATTCAGGTTACCAGTACACAAAAAATTCCATCTAGCCCATTAATTTCCTTCTTTTCATAATTGTCTCACCTGTAATTTATCCCAAATATGCACAAAGAATGGATTTTTAGTTATGTTGCAAAGTTGAAGATGGAATTTAATCTTAAAATGATCTGAAGATAAAAAATGTTAACATTTATGAAGATGAACCCTAGAGATCATATTTCACATCTTCATAGTTTAAATTGGAGATAAATATACCATTTCGAGTTTAGGGAAATAAATAATAATATAATAAAATAAAAGTTTATGTTAAAAAGCAAAAAACATTCTACTAGCTATTTTATAAGTTTGAGGTAAAATGTGTTTCCTTTTCTAAGAATATTGATCCTTTTCCCAGGCAGATTTATTTGCCCAATTCAGTCCTCAGTTCCATGTAGTTTTAATGTCTTCAGAAAAAGATTGCTTGGTTGACTTATCATAAAACAATAGCATCCAAAAGCATTGCCCACTTCTAATTTAACTAGTTGGGTCTTTGCACTTCCCTAGGTCAGTCGTACCCTGGAAAACCTCAGATAATAAGATGTCGTTCTCTAGAAAAGGAAACTTTTTCGTGTTGGTGGAAGCCTGGCTCAGATGGAGGACTTCCAAACAATTACACCCTGTTCTACAGCAAGGACAGGTAACGAGTGGTGCATACGTACTCTGTAAGTGATGGTTATGACAGACTGAGAGAATGACAATATTAATTTGTGAAGTTGTTATTATTAATCCATTTGAACCTCAGATGGACAACAAGGGCTGCATAAGACTTGTGGCTTCCCTTGTTGGAAGAAAACATGACCACTGACAGCCCCAAGTCTTCAGCCTGTCCCTCCTGAAACTCATCTACCAAAAATCTTGTCTGAAGATGTGCTGGGAGCAAAGGCATATTTGCCCATCTTTTCAGGAAGCACAGACCTTTCAGCTGAACGGAATCTCCTCTGAGCACTGGAGCATGAGGGCACCACAGGGCAGCCAGTCTCCCATCACCCCAGCCATGGAGCAGGGCAGGATGAGGGGAGCCCAGTCCTGGGCATCGGTCTCCTCCTTGGGGACAGGGGCAGGCTGAGGCCAGGCTGGGCCAGGACATCGACTCAGGGGCTGTGTCTGGGAAAGGCAGGGCTGTGTGGACCAGGAGCCCTGCTGAACTACCTGGGACCTAGGTAGTGCATGGGGGGGCTGGGCAGGGGCGGTGAGGGCTGGTGAGGCCCTTGTACGTCACCCTGCACACCAAAACCCCCATCTGCACTATAGTAATTTTTTTTCCTATTGTTTTTTTTGGTCAATGGTTCCTAAAATGCAGTGAAATCAGACATGGGACACATCACAAAAGTTCATATTTTGGTAAATTCTCAACTGCCTCATGTTCAGGAATAAAGCATGTATATGCTTGGCAGCTTTACTTAACCTGTCCATCTTTGTTTAACTGTACTTTCTTCCTGAAAACAAACAGTCTTTGAACAGGGACAAGTAAGCAGGGAAGCTCAGAAACTAAATTTTCTTTTAATAAATCCAGTGAGATTCAGAATAGGTAAGATAAAGCCTCAGACATCCCTGCTACAATTAAATATTCCAAATCACTGAGCAGAAAAAGATACAGTCTTTAATGAAGTTACTGTACACAATGATGATTTGAAAACTTTTGTTTTATGAAAGCCTGGATGTTTCAGTCTTGATCAAAAAGTTTAATGAACATTTAAATTCATACCTGTCACTGCACAGAGCTGTTCTGCTTAGGGAAGGATAGGAGTGCCTATCCATTTCATTAAATCTGCTGCACCCAGGCTCTGCCAAGCACTTTAAACCTGGGCCACAATTGCCTTTCTAGGCTCATTTTCTCTCAGGTACAGTCCCTTGTCTCCCATCGTTTCTTTATAAACTGTGACAAAAATGCCTGGAAACTAAGAATGTATTATTGATAACACATAGAGCATAATAATGGAATTGAAGTTAATTCATGCACCACATCAGCTAATGCTTTGGGTTTGTGTAGTTTTTCACACCTGGGGTAGGCTGTGAGTACATCACCCAGGCCAGCTTTGAGCACAAAACAATCCCTCTCCTAAAGAAGACAAAGACCCATATAAAGGAAATAAGTAATTGACTGTGAAGTAATTTTGCCTTGAGTGCAACCACACAGCACATATGGGACAACCAAGGGATCAGGCCCAGCTACCATAGATTTAGGAAAGGCAGGTCCTGCTTGATCTCCTTTCATGAATAGGTGACCCAGTCAGGAGAGGCTGTGGATGCAGTCTGCCTGACTGCAAAGTCTTCAGCAAAGTCTTTTGATAATGTCTCCCACAACATTCTCTTGGAAAAGCTGGCAGCCCACAGCTTGGACAGGAGCACTCTTTGCTGTGTTAAGAACTAGCTGAGAGCTGGGCCTACGGAGTGGTGGTGAATGCAGATACATCCAGCTGCAGCCAGTCACTAGTGGTGTCCTTAAGAGATCAGTGTTGGGGGTCACTTTCATTAAACAGTCCTGTTTAATGTCTTTATTGACGATATGGTTGAGAGGATTGAGAGGACCTTCAGTCAATTTGCAGACGATGCCTAGCTGGGCAGGAGTGCTGATCTGCTGGACGCCAGAGGGATCTGCATTGATTGCTGAGCTGAGGCCCTTGGTGTGAGGTGCAACCAGGCCAAGTGCCAGACCCAGTCCTTGGACACAGCAACCTCTTGCAGCTCCAGGCTGGGGAAGAGTGGCTGGAATGTGGCTTGGCAGAGAAGGATCTGGGGCTGAACATGGGCCAGTGTGTACCCAGGTGGCCAAAAAGGCCAATGGCTCCCAGGCTGTGTGAGGAAAAATTTGGCCAGCAGGATCAGACAGTGATTTCCCGCTGTAGTCAGCACTGGTGAGGCCACACCCAAATCCCATGCTCAGTTCTGGGCCCCTCACTGCGAGAAAGACACAGAGGTGATGGAGCATGACTGGAGAAGGGCAGCAGAGTTGGGACAGGGTCTGGAGCACAAGCCCTGTGAGGAGCAGCTGAGGGAGCTGGGGGTGTTTATCCTGGAGAAAAGGAGGCTCGGGGGCCATCTTATCACTCCACAACTTCCTGAAAGGAGGGTGTACTCATGTGTGGGTCAGTCTCTTCTCTCAGGGCATAGTGATAGGACGAAAGGAAACAGCCTCAAACTGCACTAGAGGAGGTACAGGTTGGACCTCAGGAAGAATTTCTTCACTGAAAGGATGGGTAAGCATTGGAATGGTTTCCCAGGGAAGTGATGGAGTCACTGTTCCTGGAGGTGTTCAAGAAACACCTGGACATGGCACTTGATGCTATGGTCTGGTTGACATTGGTCAAAGCTTGACCTGACAATCTTAGAGCTCTTTTCCAACCTAAATGATTCTCTGACCTTGCTGAAAACATACTGATCAATAAAAGACTTTTCTACCATAGGGCCCATAAGTTTAATTTCTAGGGGTAATATGCAAAGATATTTAGCAACTTATCTAATTGAAATAAATATTTTTCATTTCCCTCTTACTTGCTTATAAATACTGTTAAAATTTCTTTGTTCTGTCTCTGGAAATTTCTGTTTCTTTTCTTTTGTTGATTTATTCCTATTTATTAAGAAGAGGGTGAAAGCATCCATCAACTGCAGTAAAAATATCATTGAAGCATTTATGGTAATGGCATTTAATGTGTATAAAAATGTTCACAAGAGATGGAGTAATAGATATATACAACATAAAATTATAAATCATATATATATTATAAAACATATAAAATATATAATCATATAGATAATTATATATTTTTCTTTTTATATTTATAAATAATTTATTCAAATTTATTTCTTTTTATATATCTATATAAATTATATATGTGATTTTATATATATTTTTCATCTATCTATCTATATATACAAACATTTCAGATTTCTCTGCTGACCCATTAATAGAATATTATCTGCTTTGCTTAATTTCCTAAATTTTTTAATCATTTTGTTTCAGTGAAGAAAAAATCTATGAATGTCCAGACTACCTAACATCAGGTCCAAATTCCTGCTACTTCAATAAAAACCACACTAATCCCTGGACAACCTATATTATCACTGTAACAGCAACAAATGAGATTGGAAGTAACAGCTCAGATCCTCAGCATGTGGATGTAACTTCCATAGGTAAAATCAAAGAATGAAATGGAAAACAAACTAGTTGGAGATGCTTACAGTTTTTAATTATAGAACAGCTAGTGGAGAGAGATTTCTTCCTCATGATGTGAAACTTGCTCTTGAGAAGTGTTTATTTACAGATAATCTGAAGTATGTATGTTAAATATGTGTGAAAATTGAAATTTAATTATTCATTAAGTAACTACATTCTTGATTGTAGGAATTTCATGTATGAATATATAAAAAATTTAACTTCAGCTGAAAAAATTGTTTCAGTTTCTAGTTGTCTGCAATATTTTAATTAGACTCAATGTAGATTATAAAATTTTCAACTTAGATTAAGCTACATAGTATTTCAAATGTAACAATCTTTTTAACTGCTGGCATTGCCATCTTGGAAGGGTAAAAAGAACTGCCTGAGCATTATACAGGCTTTTTGTAGTATTTTATATTACTGACTCCATTCTACTTTCTGCACACACATAGTACATCATTTTAATTATAATATGCTTAGTTTTTCTAGCTATGAAATAGCTGACATTTTTTTTTGCAAGAGTGGCCTTACAAAATTATGATCTGTATTTCCTTAGCCTGACAAATTCAGAGTAAACTTTAAGATTTGCTGATACTGTTGGAAATCAGGTATTTAAACACATTAAGGAGAAAAATAAAAAGCTTCTTTAATATTCTTTAAAACACTGAATTATCTGAAATTAATAGAATGACATAAAAAAACATAAAGGAGGTGTCTTTTCTGAGAGAAAATTAAATGGTGCACTTTTCATTCATTTATACAGTTCAGCCAGATGCTCCAGTGAATCTCTCTCTAGAAACAAACACATCTGCCAACATGTCATACATTTGGGCAAGATGGTCTCCACCTCCATTAGCTGATGCCAGATTTAATTCACATGTATATCACTATGAGCTTCGACTAAAGCCTGAGGAAAAGGAAGAGTGGGAGGTAAGGGAAAAACATATTTATTTTACAAATACTCTTTTCAGTTAATTCTCTTATCTCACTTTAATTGGTCTTATAAAAATGTTAGTTTGTGTAAAAATAGAAAAATTAATGTAACCAAATCTGATTAAAGAAACTAAAATACTGGAGTGGTCTATAGAGACAATGAAATTCAACATAATTTCCATAATCATTCTAATGTTATGTATGACAAAACAGTACTACAAAACCTAGTTACCATCATTCTCTTCAACATGATCAGCTGGAGACAACCTGCCCCTCAAAAATTTTGTTGTGGTCTATTTACATTTAACCATTTCCATTGAGATTTCCCACCCGTTGCCATATTTCTACAAATCAGCTTCAGTACTGCTACAGCTGAGTTTTCAGGACAAAATGTCATTGTTAAAGTCATAGTCAAGTCCTTCTTAAAGTTATAGTCCTCAATGCTATCTAGCTTGTTGATACCTTAATGGTGAAGAATGCTATGAATTTTGAAATAGTTCTGGGGAGAAATTAGAAGGGTCTGAGAAAGTCACTTAAAGACACTGAGAAGAATTTCAGTGGGGGGTTTATATGTGGGTTAGACTACTTGTAATGCTCTTTGCATTGTGGATCTGATGGAGTACTAGGAACTTTATAGTTCAAGATGTTTTTGAGTATCAGAATCAGCAGTGATTTTTTTCTGCTAAATCACTGCTTTTGCTTTTATTATCTTACAAATACCCAACTTATATCCCTGACTTTCAGAAGTCAGTAACTCAATGCCTATTCCTGTATGGTTTATTTGTTAAAGTGGTCCAATTCTTTATTATTTTCTCTGTCCATTTTCATTTTCAGACAGTATCTGTAGGAATGCAGACGCACTACGAGGTGACCAGCCTGCAAGCTGGGGTGAAGTACATCGTTCAGGTGCGTTGCATGTTAGACCTTGGAGAATGGAGTGAGTGGAGCTCAGAAAGAAGCATTCAGATCCCTAAAGGTGAGTGATGATTGCTGCTCTGTAAATTGCTTTTGAATTGTAGCAGGTTCAATGCTGTGAAGGTGCCTAAATGCCACTCCTGAAAACCTGGCCTCTCAAACAGATATTTTCTAGTGCTCAGTGCATTTTGCCATACTTTCTGTTGTAATTGCTTTGTTAATCTTGTTGATCCAGTCAGGATCCTCTGCTGAAACTGGCTATGATAAACAAGGTGGGATTTACTAGGAAGTCACTTCTGATACAGGTGTGTCTAAATAATTTATTGTCCCTGTCTCTTTATTGAAAAATCATGTTGATTTTATCTGTAGCTATAAATATCAGGTATAAGAGCCTGGACTGAAAGCTCTGCTGTGTCTAACAGAGCATGACACTTACAGATACTATCACATGGAAGTCACCATCTGTGTTTTACTGGGTTTGAGTAGACACACTAAATATGTATGACACCATATTTTGTTGCCAGACACTTTAGCCAAGTTGTCTCAAAACTTTTTCAGTTACTAGTTGTATTATTCATTATTTGACATGAAGATTGTTGAAGTACTGCTAATAGAAAAATATTTTTTAAATGTCCCATTTTCAGGTCTGCCTCAGGCAATTAAAAATTTGGAAAATCAATGCCTCTTCTGTACATAGTAGAAAATATATATTATTGATGTAATAGGACCATATTTTTGCCCTAAATGTATAACTGCAAAAGTTTCAATCACTTCAGGGTTTTGACGGGCATCATCCTATTCAAAATTTAAACATTTTTCTCTGACCAACTCTTAAGTGCTGTTCTTGAAACTATAAAAACTTGCCCAGGAGCAATCATGCAAGTAGGCTAAGTACTGAACATAACAACATTACAGTGAAATATGAGAGCTGCTTCTTTGTGTATTTTGAGTACTTCAGAAGAAAATTACTGGCAAGAACACAAACAAATAGACAAACATTTACATTCTTCATTTTTTTTTACCTAAAAGCAAAAGAAAATGACAGCATGCCTTTCAAACAGAAATCATCTTAAAACACACCTTTTGGGGAAAAAAAATATGTTTGTGTATGTAGTGGTTTAAGCCCAGCTGGCAACAAGCCATCACACAGCAGCTCACTCATATGTCACCATGGTGGGATGAGGGGAAGAATCAAAGGTAAAATATGTGGGTTGGGATAAGAACAATGCAATAATTGAAACAAAGTAAAATGTAGTAACAATAATAATTGTAGATGATGATTATAAAAAAGGGAAAAAAAACAACAAAAATTGAGGGACAATATATTTGCTCACGCACTACTGATCAATGCTGGACCCCATTTCTGAATCCTCCTGATGGGCGCTGGTTCTGAGTAACTCCCAAATTTCTATTCTGGAGATGATGTTCTATGGAGTGGAGTGTCCCTTCAGTGTGGTCACCTGTCCTGGCTATAGTCACTCCCAGGCTTTTTCTTCCGTTTTGTACCTCTTGACTGACAGAGCAGGAGACACAAAAAGGTCCTTGGTTTAGGATAAACATGTCTTAGTGACAAAATATCCCTGTATTATGAAAATTTTTCTCATACTGTATCCAAACCACAGGACTATACCAGCTACTGAGAAGAAATTATCCCAGCTGAAACCAGAACACTATTGAAAATAGATTGGATAGTATAGTGTATTTTAAATAATTTTATAGAGCCTGCTATGACAGTATTTCAACATTCCTTATGAGATTTTGGGGCAGAAGAAAGCCACAAGCAGAAATCTAAAACTGTTCTTCAATGCACCTGCAGTGAGAGGGAATTCAGAATCCAGGTGAGAGTAGCAAGTTGTTGTCCTAAGCAGGGAATGGTCCCTCCTTTCCTGGGCTACTACAAAGCAAAACTTTTTATTTTTTCATATTTACCTGTTCTCTGCTTGACATTGTTTTACGAATTCAAGGTGGACCTAATGGATTAAACTTGCTAATTAGTTAATTTCTTTATTTCTTACAGAACGGGTACCTCCTGAAAAGCCTACAATAATAAAGTGCCGTTCTCCTGAAAAAGAAACATTTACTTGCTGGTGGAAACCTGCTTCAGATGGAGGACTCTTGACCAACCACACGTTGCTTTACAGCAAAGAGGGGTAATAGTGCTGTGTAGTTATTCAGCGTTTTGTTGGAAGGACCTGGAAAATCAATCCTCATTGGTTTCTTTTTTCAGGAGATGCCATTTTCTATAGTCCATGGTTTTGTCCAGTGCCATGTTCTGGCATCACACTAAAGCAGCAACATGTCTAAGACCAAAATATTAAATCTTGATTTCTTTATAATGGCAGGTGAATTACTGTGAATTCTGTCTTTTCATTGCTCATCAACAGCATACTAGTAAACAATACAACTGCACAGTCCTAAAAATCTTCAACCATGCAGTCTCAGAAATAAAACTTTCCAAAATGACCAGATACTAAAACTTTAATCTTTTGATAAGGCTTGTTTTGCACTCATAGGCTATGAATGCCTCCTGGTTTCTGTAGTAATCTTTCCTTGGAACTCAGATAAAGTGCTAAACATTAATTTTAAAGAAAGAGTCAATAAATTTTTTTAGGTCTTATGAACCTTTTTGGTCCTTTTTAGTTCACCTGGTACTGTTCAACCTTGCAATGACCAAAATAGATTACAAACTCTGTAAGTGTCAGCTGAGAGCCCAGTTTTAGTGTAAAAACACAGATGCTGGTCCAGCCAGGTATGGCAGAGTAAGAGGTCCACATCCATCTTTTGTTATTGTGCACCTAAGAAGAGCATGAAAACAAATACTACATACTCAATTTTCTCTCCTACCCCTTCTCTGACTTCGGGAAGCTTCGGTATGGATGTGAAGGAGAGGTACAAAGTAGACTTTTTTTTTTGATTATCAAGACCAAATAAATTCTGAAAGCATATTAGTGTAACACACAGAATTCCTGTGAGTGTGGAATGAACACTGGAAATATTAAAATTTTAATAGGTGGGTTAGAAGACTTCAGCAATCAGTTGTACTCAGCCTCTGGAGCATGTAAGGGCTCTGGGCTGTGCAGTGAACAGTGGCTTTCAGCGAAATAAGAGCTGAGCTCTACTAGCCCACAGCTGTATCTGCAACAGCCTAAATTCTTCAGGCTCTGTGGTGTTTACTTCGTGGGGAAAATGCTTAGTATAGTCTCTGGGATTGTCCAATGACTCTTTAGTCTTGTACCAGTTTTCTGATTTTCTCCACATTGCCAGGTGTGAAAAATCAGATCCAGCCCTAAATAAAGCTGAAGTACTAGTAAACCAATCAGGTGTTTTAGTCTGTGTAACCTAATCACTGGGATTCTTTCATTTCAGAGAAGAAAAAGTTTATGAATGTCCAGATTACAAAACTGCAGGCCCCAATTCGTGCTACTTCGATAAAAAGCACACCTCTTTCTGGACCATATACAATATTACTGTGAGGGCAACTAATGAAATGGGAAGTAATGTCTCTGATCCTCATTATGTGGATGTGACTTACATAGGTAAGAGTTAAAAAGTAGTTTCTGTGCAACCAAATAATTCAGAATCATGGGTTTTGACACAAGAATTTTAATTTCAGCTCTCCTCATATATAGTATTATATCCAAGTTATAAATTTGGGCAAATAGGGTTTTCCTTAGTGTAATAACAAATCAATATTCATCCCTTTACCATCTTATTTTCAGAAGAAGATAAAAATGCTAAAAGGTTTAAAATTATGTTCAGAGAAACATTTATTGGTTTTCCATATTTCTTGTAGTCAAACCCTAGGAAACATCATCCAGCTAAAATCTTTTTTCCACTGTACAAGCAACTGAAATCTATTTGATCTTTTAACTAATAGTACTTAAATCTGATTAGCTAAAAGTAGTTTTCAGACCCAAGAGAAGCTGCATTAGTGCTTTTTATGGCAGTGTACTGATAATCTCTTTCTCAGACTTTTCTACAGAGTGACTGTGGACAAGTAATTAGGGTTTTATCTAAGAGAACGGAGCATTATCCTTGATAACCATTTTGTTGCCAAGGATCTGGCTGCCAAGAGTCTGGCAACTGGAAAAGGGTTCTTGGAGAAATGGCTTTATATTTTACCTCAGTCCAATGACCTGATGAATCTTTGATCAGACAGTGGTAAAATACATGCATAAGATGCAGAGGCTTTACCTCTGAACTGAGGAAGATGCAAGCCTGACTGTAGAAGAAACCTATGTTCCATTTTGGTTCATTTTTGATATACAGACAGAGCTTCAATATGTTTTTTTGGTTTATTTTTAAGTATCCTTACATATGAGTGTAGGGACCATACGGTTGAGTTTTTTAAATGTAAAAGATGGAGGGGACAAGTTTCGTTAGCTGCATCCATGTTTTCAGTGTTCCTAAATATTTATGCCAAGCTTTGATAAGATTATAGTAGAACACAACTTCCATAACATAACTTTAAAGATGTTAACTTCGAAATATAGTTGTGGAGGAAAGTAACAATAAATGGTAATGTAAGAAAAAATATTTTTGATGATAAATGATTAAGGCAAATCTCAATATGAATCCAATATACTACTATTCAGAGGAGTTTTAAAATTCAGAAATCCATACTTACTTTACCTGAAAACTCTTGATTTCTATACAGTAGCAGTTCTAAATTGCCAGACACAATGGAGATGACAACTCTTCACTCACATAATTTTGTATTTCTTCCTAAGATGCAAGTAAAAAAGTCACTTAAACTCTTATTGACGGTTATTTTATTTCAACAGTACAGCCAGATCCTCCTGTGAATATAACTCTGGAATTAAAAAAGTCAATAAAGAGAAAACCGTATCTGGTCCTGACATGGTCTCCACCCCCACTAGCTGATGTCAGATCTGGATGGCTTACCCTTGAATATGAATTGCGACTAAAGCCTGAAGAGGGAGAGGAATGGGAGGTAAGAATGTCACAAGTTTTTGCTAGACATTTTTTTCCTAACCAGCTAGATTTTGTCAGCCAAGTCTCATGCCTGAATGTAATGAAGCAGACACTCTAAATAGTTCATAATTTTTCAAAAGTGTTTGTGTAACCTATGATTTCCTGCTGAGAACACTGGTATCTCAGACGCTGCTGTACAATAGCAGGTGATAAAGTACTTGGTTTTAATTGTGGCCATTATTTATTAATCATACTGGCATTTTAGTTTAAATTGTTCATTCTCTTTTAGTCAGCTGTCTTTCGTAATAATTTATTCTTAACCACAAGCACTTCTTAGATAACAGAAAGATCAGTGACTTTACATAAAATAATTTAAATTTATATAAATAATCACTAGGTGGTAATTGCAGTGGGAACACAATAATAATAATGATTTTATATGGCCAGGACCTACAACTTAAACAACTGAGTGGCAAATTAAAGATTCCAGCTATTGGTATTTGACTCCATCCCCTTCTTGTCTGCAGAACTTCCAAACCACCTCTTGCCTTACCCCTTCCACTGCACTTCCCTCTGGCCCTATGGCCAGACCTACTTTTTACTTCCCTGTGCATTTCCACCACTTCACATTCCATCTTCCTCTATGCATTTTCTTTCTCCATTTCTGTTTCTTGCCGCCTCCTCTTCCTGTCACTGTCACAGTTCCTACAATTACCACAGCTCCTCCTCTATTTGCCATAAATTGATGATGTGTTTTTGCAGCAGTTTAATTTTCACTGTATACCAGAGCCAGATCTCATTCTCACCTGCTAGAAAGCAGAATTTAAACTATTGAAATAAAAAAAAATGTACTATTATTCCATGCCTGCTCAACAGTTATTAGGAAAAGATATCCAGACTCATTTTATGTTCTCATCTTGATTACCAAAACCTTAGCTGTGACTTTTATTTTATTTCCAGACTATTTTTGTTGGACAACAAACACAGTATAAAATGTTTAGTTTAAATCCCGGAAAGAGGTACATTGTACAGATTCACTGCAAACCAGACCACCATGGACTTTGGAGTGAGTGGAGCCCAGAAATGTATATTGAGATCCCTACTGGTGAGTGGCCAAACACCCCTTCAGTAATTGTTATTACATGCAAGTTCATGTTATATTTTTTTGTTAGCTGTTTGTGGCACTCATTCAGTTCCCTTAGTTTCCCTGGGACAGACAAGGACATCATTTCTAAGGTAACCAAATCCTTCTCATCCTTGCACCATACCCACTTATCTTTTCCCTTCTTTCCTTTTTGATAGAGCTAAGAAAGTGAACAATTTCTTTGATTATTTAAATAATTTCCTTTCTGTCTACTGACTAATTTGTTCTCTTTATGGTAGTTTTTAATTAAAAGAACTCAGGCAACTGCATTAAAACTTGACACAGGAAACAGAGAGCGACTGCCTTCAGACAGTAACAGCTCTTCATTATTCTTTATCTGGAATTAATATGAAATAATCACCTCAGTATAAAAAGTGTTACATTACAATAAAAATCCTTAAAAATATGTAATCCTAGGTCACTTTACCCAGCATTTAATTAATTGTATGATATGTATTTAATAATGAAATGGCTATAGTTTTGATATGACTGGATTTGAACCCAATCTGTATAATTGGCTGTGACAAAATTTTCCTCTTCATGCATTTCTGTATGATTTTTCCAAGAGAGTTTATTTCCTGTGCAGTACCATTAGTAAAAATTATATTCATTATTTGATATTACAGGGATTATTGAGATCCGTCTATGCTTCTGAAGGCCTCTATTCGATAATAAATTTGGCAGTTTAGGCCAATTTTAAAAATAAAAGTAATTTGTGAGTTTTTATGGCATGCTGACTATACAAATGCTAGGTGCATGTCCTTAAATAATTCTGTTTTTCCTTAGATTTCAGAGTAAAAGATATGGTTGTGTGGATCATCGTTGGTGTCCTGTCATCTCTTATATGTTTAACCATGAGCTGGATAATGATTATGAAAGGGTACAGGTAAGGCACCAATTTCACAATTGCATGGAGTCCAGGATCAGAGAAAACTTTTCAAAAACAGACTTCTAATACTTGATTCAATTTCCTATGGCATTTGCTTTATCTTATAAACTATTAGTTATAGGTATTTGACTTAATTTACAATTGAAAGAAGCAATGTTTCTGCTCCTTATGGAATCCAGACTAAATTCTCAGTTGGTAAAGGTCTCTATTAGATCTGATTAATCTTGGTTAGTCATGTAATATTCATCAAACATTGCTTAGAGTACCACTGTTCCTGCAGGAGACATGTCTTTGGGTTTTGTCATAATCTCCTAAAGTAAACAAGGTTATATTATGAGATTGTCTTTCTTCCAGCCTCTCTATCAATTTCCCAAATGGTTTCTTAAAATCCTGGCTAATTTCAATCAAATTTGAAAGAGTGTTGCAAAGATTATTGCTTTTATACAAGTCTTACAAAAAATACTGGCTGAGTAGAAGAAAGGGATAGAAACTGTGTTTGGAAAAGCCATGTCCTTCACCATAAATCCTGTTTATCAGTAGTCAGGTGGCAGTTAAAGATGCACAGACAGCCCCACTAGCCCTCCTGAACTGCACCTCACTTCACTGTTTCGTGGCCAATGATGAATTTACAATGGTGTTAGAGAACTAGAGGTTAAGGAACAGAGGACAATTAAAAGGACATTAGTAATTTTACTTTTCCAGTTGAACAACTTTTGTACTACTGGTGTTTTTTATAAATACATCTAAGGCTACTTTATGAGCTATAACTGGATTTGTGAATTACCTAGCTTGAGAGGCAGACAAGAGACAGAGGTCCAACCGGGATGTATAAGATATGGGAGAGGTGTTTCAAATCTTAGTCACATTCTAAGAGAAACGGGAGAATAGTGAGATAGAGTCTGTATTTACATCTGGTATGTTTATTCCGGGTTTTTTTTAGAATGATGGCCTTTATCCTGCCACCAGTTCCAGGACCAAAGATAAAAGGCATAGATACACATCTGCTAGAGGTGAGTACCACAGGTAACAACAAAAAAATTCACTAAAACCCATGTTTTTTCCAACTTGTGTATTGGCAAGGACAATTACCACAGTAAAACTGCTTCAAGTAATCAGTGTTGGAAATGAGCAACACTTTCTGGTTAAATATGTGGAGGATATGTGTGAGTCAGAGTTTTGCCTTGCACTTGGAACAGAAGGGTGTTTAAGAAGAGGGTTTGTGACTGCTGTGTTTTCTGGGACATAAAGAAATGCTTCTGTGACCTTCCTACTAGTTCTTATAGAAGATGCTCTCCACAATCTTTTGCCATGCTGAAGAGGCAGGACATGTCTGCACTGCAATTCTCCTCCATTTCCTTCCTGTTAAACTTGGGAGAGCCATACCTGCCAAAAGCTCCCTGCTCCTCCCAAATTAGAAACGTGAATTTTAGGATTGTCTCCCCACTGAGGAAACTCAGGAATTTTTCTTCCCTTCATTCAATAGTTTCTGCAACAATCAGGTTCAGGTCTAGCAATACAACTATCAAAGTATTTGTATATTAAATATGTAGATTGTTCTAGACAGGTAATCCCAAAGGCTGACAATGAAAAATTATATCCTTTTCATTATACCTTCAGACAGGAAAATCTGAAGAATTACTGAGTGCTCTTGGTTGCCATGGTTTCCCTCCAACATCAGACTGTGAGGAACTACTGATAGAGTATCTGGAGGTGGAGGACAGTGAGGATCAGCAGCTCATGCCAAGTCATGACACTCATTGTAAAAATACAAAAATTATACTCAAGGAAACAGACAGTGACTCAGGCCGAGGGAGCTGTGATAGCCCTTCTCTCCTCCCTGTGAAGTGCAGGGAATCCCGCAGCCTTCCATCTGCTCTTCAAACACAAGATGTAAGAGCTAAAGAAAAAAAAGGAGGAAAAGGGAGCTGGGAAACTCAGTGTACCGCCTCAGAACAGAAAACACTCCCTTGTAACAGTGAGAGTAAAAAATCGTGCACGTGGCTGGCAGCTCAGTTACCCAGTAATCAGGCTGCTATATTTGCCTACCACAGCACTGTGGAGGCATTCAGGATAACACTGAACACCACAAATGTGAACACTTCACCAGTTTTGGTGGGAAATGAAGAAAATTGTCAGTCACTGTATCCTATTGCTGAAACTGTGTATGATGACATGGAAAAGATAAACGAGATGGAATATTCTAAAACTGACCAAACCACAGTGCAGGTCAGACAAAACCAACAAAATGACAAGTCGCCTTTCCTGAATCCTAAACTAATGGACTATGTAGAAGTTCATAAAGTCAGACAAGATGAGGAGCCAACACTATTCCTGAAACATAAAGAAAATAGTGGAAAGACCAAAAAATGCACTGTTCCAGGAACCAGCAAAGAATATACCAAGGTCTCAACAGTTATGGACCATCACATTTTAGTATTACTGCCAGATCAGCGCACCCAAAACACACCTGTGTCTCAAGAACCTGTAGCAGAAACATCTCAGAACCCTCAGCAAAGTCAAGCTGAGAAGAATACGAGCTACAGCACGACAGCTCCAAGTGATTCCACAAGAGACACCAGTGGATCAGACTACATGGACCCATCTTCCTTTATGCCCTCCTTTAAATAACCTGTTAGTATAGCACATACTTAGTGGTTACACACAGCAAAAGAAACTCACATAGCAAACAGCTCTTTTAAAAAGCATAGTCTTCAAAAGCCTAACCGCCTGTGTACATTGTACAGGTAATAAAATAATCTGTGAGTTGAGGTTATAGTCATGGACGTCAGTCCTGGATCATCAGCACACGTTTCTGACACGGTGAAATGAGGAAATGGATCTTGTCTGTCATGAAAAATGCACTGTAAAATAATTATTCAGTTCTGCAAAACTTCTGTTGGTCAATGAAGCCTGAGGAGGTACCACAGTTTCAACAAAGATGAAAATTGTTGTGGATTAGTCAGCAAACCATAGTGATCTGAGCAGTTCCTGCATTAGATAAATCATTGCACAATGTATTCTTACCTACAATGTGTTTTCTTCTGAATGCATTCTAGCACTAGATTAAGTTTTCTTTATCTTTTTTCTCAATCCTTGAGAAAAAGCAGCTCTTGTACATTACAAATCATATATAAAAGAGAACATATTCTACAAATTGCAGTAAAATAACAAATTCTTCTAAATATATTTTGCTTTGTTTCAATGTGACAGAAAACTGCATCCCATTCATATCTTAGTCCAGACAAACCAAAATGAAAAAGAAAGCAGGATAATATATGATATACTGCCTTACTGTATATAATATACAATTTTACTTTAATATAAGCCCATATGTTTAACAATCTATTTTTAAAGGCTATTTTTCTATTACCAAAAAAAGAGCAAAATAAAATATTTTTTCATTTCCCAGTGCTATTTAGCTACCTAGGAACTTTTCTCTTTCCTTCTGCTGAGGCAGTAAAAAGTAAAGCTATAATTTCTATACAAAGCATAAAATTAAACTTTATAGTAATTAAGAATATGGAGACTTTTTAAACTATATTTCTAATATATTACAGATATATTACTATTTGAATTGTAAATTATTTGTTTCACAGGTTTTTTTATTACCTGTAATTATATAATTAAAATAGAATTTAGGTTTCAAGATCTAAGGTTCTGTCCCTTTGAATTTGTACTCTGATGCCAATTATAAATGAAATGGGGTTCTCCTGCACTTTTCTCTGAGCCTGGAAGGAAAGTCGGATTTTTCATAATGAATTTATTAACAACAGTTTTGAAACCCAGCCTCCAAGGTCTGATTCAGACCTCCACTGAAAAAGCAGTGGGAATGAGGAGGCAAGTCCATTTACTTGGGCTGATCATGTGTCCCCAGAACAGCAGTGGGAACAGTAAGGATCCACTATATCACATGTAACTGAAGACAGAATCAAAATGATACTGTAGTGGCTGCAAAGTTGTTGTGGTCCTTCCTTCTTGAAACAAAAGTTTAATTTACTCCAGAAAAGTATGACTGCGTGATGACTGATTAAAAGTGGGCAAAGTATTTAGCCAGCACCTCTAGCTTCAGGGGAAACTGGAAATTTAAGGTGAGGGAATGATCCTGTACCTGCGAAGGAGTGTGTATGTGATAGATGGGCTCCCTTTTGTTATTCTCCTTCCTGAGCAGCTTTACTTTTCCCCATATTTTTATGATTTTATGCACTGAGCAAGCCTTCCTGTGGTACGAGGTGCCTGCTGCAGAGCCAGACAAAAGAGAATTTCAGATTCTGAAGGTACCAGAAAGCCACAACTAATTTGGCAAATCAGATTCTTACCCTTTACCTTCCAAGCCATGGAACTGCTCAAGCACAGATTCGTAGAACTGCCTAGCCTTTGCACAGACAGGACTTCAGAACTTAGCTAATTAGCTGTGTGTCTATAAACATACATGGTAATGTAGACTGTAACATTAGGGTGGCATCAGATTTAGAGCCTGTCCTCTATACAGGCAATTGCCCACTTTCAGGGGCTGATCTGAGCAGTCTGGATGCTCTGCTGAAGGTGTGGGAAGGTATCCTAGATTCCTAATTCGGCCAGTTACTTAACACATGACAACACAAAGGGGCTACTCCAGATATCAGCCAGACATAAAACTGTGTTCAGTTATGGTTAACAGAATAATTTTACCATAGATACTCTGTATGTAGTATACCTTACAAATTTCTAAAGATGCTAATACTGCAAATAAACTCTTGAGTTATGAGGAAACTTATGCATGTAGAAGTGTGTAAGCTGATAGCACACTGTGTCTGACAGTGTTTTATTTACCCTTCAGTTTTCTGACTGAATCTGACAAAGCTAACACCATCAGACACACTCTTCTTTCTTTACACAGATAGCTCTATCTGTGTAGTTTCATACACCAGATGATGTGCAAAAAGATACGCTGCTACAGGCCTTCTGGGATGTATCTGGTGATGCACAGAAGCTATAGTACCTTATCAAGCCTAGAGCCTGAAGATGTTCCTTATAGAGTAGATTTCTTAGGTTAGAGCACAGGTGACTACCCAGATGTACGACAGTAACAGGCTGTTCCCACTGCATCTTTTTACCTGAAGTTACTTTTTGCCTGAAGCACACAGACACAACAGTTAGCAGATTTTAAGTGTATGATTCATCCTGCCTAACTGTAGCATGTGTGCCTCCAATAATCCACATAGAAAGAGAGTCAAGGAGTTTCTCTGCTTTGTCATAAATGAATACTGAAACTGTAAAATAGTTGTAGCCTAAATTACTTTGTGTGGTGTTGAGCATCTCCCACCTTTGCTGATGAATGTTTCAATATGCCAAATCATCATGGCTCTCCATGGAAAGGGAAAGTCACCCACAGTGGAAAAGGGGCATTTTTTTGCTGCTTTGAAGTTTTGGGGGATTTGCTAGTTAAATGTAATTTGAATGTATTGTCATAAATATATTTAATTCTTGAAACTGAACTAATGTGAAGATAGATTAATTTTCCCTTGGATTTGCTTATATTTTTCAAAACACCCTGTTGCTCCCAGTAGCAGAGCTTCTGAAAGTGACCTTAAACATCTGAAAGTACATTAAAAAAATAAAAAACAAGTGTTCTGTAAAATCAAAGTAACCTTCAGCTAAGTGTTTGGCCATTTGAATGTTTAAATACTTAATTTTTTCTGTTTGCAACAGTATTTTTGCTTGCAGGTCTTTATGCTTTTCATTAGCAAGTACTTGAGTTTTTGCAGCACTTCAATAGAGCCAATCAGTGTAAAAAATTATGACACAACAGTGGGGAAAAACAGGCTCTTGACACATCCTTTGATATCCAGAGGGAGGAACAGAATTTACCCCAGGAACAGGGATCAGCCCTCTAGCTCTTGCACCATTAGTCAAATTTCTCACTTGGAATAATAGTTTCAAGACTTTGAATGATGTTTTCAACATCAAAGTTATCTACATGTAATTTAGAGTGTGATCTACTTTGTGATAGCATAAAAGGCCTAAAAAGTAGCATAAAGACTCTTCTACAGAAATAGTTTTACAAAACTCCTGAAATTGAACATATACATTTTATTTAATTACCTTTACTTCTGACTCAGACTAATTTTAACATGCTTTCTTCAGTATTGGCAAATATGGTTCATTATCATATTTTTTTTACTAGATTTGTTTTCAGCAGAGATATATTTGATGTACACTTTTAGTATTTCTGTGTAATATTTCAGACTTTAGAAGAAATACAAACTAATGAATTGACACATGCTCACAAAGCTCAGTATCACATATGATTAAGACTTTAAGTTTGGTCTTGATGATACTATGTAACTACAAAGATTATTTAATAAAAATGCAGTGAATTAACCTGATATAATATTAGTAAGAGGATATGTGTGTTTATGGAGCAAACTGTAAAACAAATATGTAATGATGATTTATGTCAAACCAGTGAATTCTGTAGTATATCTATCTGTGTGTCTATGTTTAAATGGCTGAAAAATAGACAGCTGCTTTAAATGTCATTCAAGTATCCCAAGTGTAGTAGCAGCAGGTGTTTAAAATGAATAAGCAGAACTTTTTGTGCTCTCTGAAGCATTGTATATGTGGGGTTTACATCATGAAGCCTGTAAGTGTATATCGTAATTTCATGGTAACTAAATGATCTGAAGGCGTTGTGCAAGGAAACTGAAGTCACATAAGCCTGTTGATAGACATCAGACATCTTCTGCAAAGCCATAAAGACAAATGAAGTAAAAAAAGTGTCATGAGATCAGGCATCACATTCTCAAATAATTGCTACCTCAGATTTTATTTTTTTCTCCCTTTAAAAGGCAAGCAGGAAAAAGCATTTTGCTTTTTTTGTGTGTGTAAATTTGTGACTCATTCTGTCAAGAATTTGAAAATCTCATTTGTAAGTTCAAATTATTTTGTTAAGAAACAGCTTGTCATGGAATCATCACTTCTGTTGTAGTGGCAGTATGAGGATGGAATATTTGAGATGTGTAGCAAAATTAAATGTTTTAATTAATTTAATTAATTAATTAATTGATTGATTTAATTAAATGGAAAAAAGAAAGCTGAAGAAAATTCCATTTTGTAAGAATATCCTTGCTGCCCAGATTGGCAGTCAAGCATCAGTCCCTTTCCTGGCCTGAAAAGTTTTATGACACTATTTGTATTCCCAGGTCACTAGGACTGATTGAGCCAATTTTCCAAAGGTGCTCTCATTCTGGATCTCCCCTACGGAACTTAGTGTTTATCAGTATTTGCTATTTAGAATTATCTGTTTTCAACTGAGTTCCTAGGAAGCAAGCCTTTCAAGTCTGTCTCTGAGTAAAAATGGAAAGCCCTGCTCTCAACTAGATCAAACTGTCACACGAAAATCAGGCTCCAGCTCCTGTGGGTGTGGAAAGACAGACTGAATTATAACAATTTGAATAACTTTGTGGCCCAGCCTTGAAAACCATTTTGAAACAAATCAGGGATTTTCTTCGGGGTTTTTTTGTGTATGTCAAGCAGAAAAATAAAGATAAATGGATGCCTAAACACATAATACATGGGGATATAAAGAACTTAAATATGATAGAAGCATAGAACAGTTTAGGTTGGAAAACACCTATAAGGTCATAAAG